TTGATGATCTCTGTACATTATATATCACTCAAGGGATGCGAACGAATGGACATATCCATTCGGCAGGGAGCGAGGAGAGACGCGACAGTTAGAAAAGGCTAACCGCCTGTCGGTTTACAAGGTGGAGATTATCCATAATTTAATATATTTAATTAATTCTTAACAGTGGTGATTCTGGTGAAGACAAGTCTCGGATATAGATATCAAATGTGTTGTGCATAAATGTCGAGTTGTATACAAAATTTTGGTTCTTTGGCAACTATGAACTGCAGATTTCTTGGTGTTATTATCCTCAATCAATGTGTGATTATTATTTATGTAACATAAGTCAGCGTCGTGCAGATGTAATTGTGTAGTAGTTCAGATGTAATTGTGTAGTAGTGATATGAGAATATTCTTTACTTCTTCTTTTATCTTCCTTCTATGTTATACTAATAGCATGTAGATGATTTAACTTGCCTCTTTATTAGTGAGCAAGAATCTGTTGAACACTTGCTTTTCGGTTACATTGTTGCGAAACATCTGTAGATAATTGTTGCTGAAGTTTTTCAGTTTGCTTTCCGTGATAATGTAGTTTAGCTGAATTACCTACCTTGTGAGATATATAAATAATAAAAATATGTAGGTTGTATGACTTGTATTGCTTCCATCTGAAGCTTATGGGCAATGCAGAATGATTTATGTTTCACCAAGGGAGCACCGTGGAAAGATATCTGGATTCTTCTGGGAAAGGCAAGCATGTTAATTCATCAATGGAAGATTCTATGCTTGGATACCGAGTCAAACTTACTAAAGGAATGCTTGCTACTACTAGATCGACAAAGAGGAGAACTCCCGAGGATCGCTTGGAAATGAAGAATAAGGTGGGCGCAAGGATTGATCAACGGAGCTGATATCTGAGGGCGCATTCCAGTTGATATTGATGATTCTGTGATAGATACCTCCCGTTGTTGAACTTTCTTTTTCTCACTATGTTGGTTTTCCTTCTATACTTTTCTGGCTCGGCTACTTTGGTTTAGCCCGAGCGCAATCAAGTCTGTATTTTGTTTGCCTCATTTTTTAATAAAAATGGGGCGAGGGAAAACCCCTTTCAATTAAAAGAATAGCTCGTAGGTAATTATGTCCATGGGTTTACTCATTTGTCTATGAGGGTAGTATCGGTGTTTAGGTAAATAACAAGATTGGCCATTATTCGGTCGATGAGGGAGAGTGGCGATTGGATCCGGGCCCTAGGCAGCCACCTTGTAGATCCTTGTAGATTGCCGCCATTCCATCTACCACACAGATCCGCTGTTCACGTCCTCCGGTCCACCACCCTAACATCCTCCACCGTGGTGGTCATCGATGGGATCCGGGCCCTAGGCAGTGACGCAACGTCCGATCCAGCACACGCCAACTTTGAGGCATATCCGCCAGAACCAGCATACCCCATCGGAGAGGAGGTGTTCCCGTCGACTACGAGGCATCTACGGCGACTTCGTAACATCTCAAGATGATATGTCGGCTCAATCTCTCGGAGGTGCTCATATGGGTAGGTGTGCGTATGTGCGTTCATAGGGGGGAGTGTATGCGCGTATATGTGAGCACTTGTGTTTGTACTGTGTTCAAAAAACATACCCCATCGGAGCCAATCCGCGCCTCCGCACGCTGGATCCGGCATCTGACGGGATGTCAACATTGATGATCTTGCAAGCCTGGAGGATTGTGCGGCCTGATGAATCTCGAGTGCGTCCTCCGGTTTGGGCACCACGCGTGCCACACCCACTAGCTCCCTTGGCAGGGGCAACTCCGGACAAGGGCACGACACGGCCGTGTCGGAGGAGGCAACCCAGGAGATGGAGCGAACCTCCTTGGTCATGGTGAGGATGCCATAATCGTAGTCCAACCCTTCATGCCGGGCTTGACCTATCTCAGTCCCTGTACGGTCAATGAACTCAGCGAGCCTGATCTCGTGGTTGCGCTTTCCCATGTGGAAAGTGGTGAGGATGTTGAAGTCTTCCTTGGATAAGCGGCGGTGGGCGTTCTCGTGCAGCTTCATGGACTCCTTGTAGCGACTACCAGGAGTGGCCGCCGACACAGCGGTGTGGGGTCATGCCCCCGCCTATGCCATGATCCATGTCGTCGGGTCTTTCCCCAAACTCCCTCATGCGCTGCAGCCGCCAAACCGACAGAAGGAGGTGACCAACGGGGGGCCCAAAGACTTCACTATGTCGATCCTAGTAGCTTTTGTTTTGAATTAATTTAGATTGTTACCACATATGTCACGTGGTTGCCGATACTGGCAGCTTGGCGAAAGGGAAGGCGAGATAGTTGATCTGAGATTTCTGGATTAAGAGGTTTTTTCAGCCGCCCAACCCATCTTTTGCAGAAGGGGGCTGTCATGGCACCATGGGGTAAAAAATAAATTACTAAGAAATAATATTTTACTATAAAAAACCTAGAAATATGCAAGAAAATGTCACTAACAAAACCAGATCATGTTGTCGTGGTTTTAAAAAAAAATCGTGTCTTTAATTTTTTTTCTTATAATTAAAAGATATTTGCATTTTAAAAATTGCATGGGGATTCTTTTCAGAAAAATTCCAATTTTCAAAAACTTGTTCAGAATGTCAAAATGCGAACATTTTTTGAAAAGCAGGGACAATATTTAAAAAACATTTTTTGAAAAACACGAACAAAATTTGGAATTTTAAGAAAATCAAAAAATTCAAAAAAATTGGTACATTTTTTTAATTTCCCCAAACATGTTTTGAACTTTTGAACAATTGTTTTTAAAAATGGGAACATTTCTGAAATTTCGAACAAAATTTTGAAAGCGCGGACATTATTTGAAACTCAAACATTTTTTAATGTTGTGAGAAAATTTTGAAAAATGGAACACTTTTCTATGTGTGAACAAATACTTAAAACAGGGACATTTTTTAAATTGCAAACAAAATTGTGAAACCACAAACATATTTTGGAAGTCCTAAACATTTTTGGAAACAAGATTTTTTTTTAAATTTGTGAACAAAGTTTTAAAAGAGAATATGTTTTGAATTTGTGAACAAATTTTGAAACGAGAACATTGTCTGAAATTCCAAACAATATTTGATTTTTTAACAAGTTAGATAATAAAAAATGAGAAAACAAAAAAGAAAAGAAAAAGAAAAAAAATAAAAGTTTAAAGAAAAAAGGAAAATGCAAAAATAAAAACAAAAAGGAAAAAGGAATAAGTAAAGAAGAAAAAAACAGTGAAAAACTGGTTTGGGAACTATTGGAAAGTTCCTAAAACCGGGTTCTGTAGCGCATCATTTCCTGGGTTGGCCCATCGTATTTGATCCCTCGCCTATGTGCGTATCAACTACAGTCTGCCGCATTGTCTCAAAAAAAAAAAACTACAGTCTGCCGCATAATGCGGCAGATAGGATGTTTTTAGATAAACGGCAGATAGGATTTCTCCTCAAACCCTCAGGATCAGGACTCAGGAAAAAAAAGAGGGCGCTCGTCTACACGCGAGCTTGGATGGAGGCAGGGCAACAACCAGTGAGCAGAGACCAGAGAGGGCGACGGCCAGGGCGAGGCAGCGATCGACAAGGCCGCTGGTTAAATATGCCGATGACGTCGAAGAACAAGAGCAAGTATATTTTGCCAACGACTGAAATAAGGTCCATTAATTCCCTATTCAGTCTATTCTAATTAATTAGTTTTTTTGCGGGAGAATTAATTAGTTTTGTTTTCTAATTTTATTATATATATAGGGTTTTCTCCTTCATAAACTCACCGACCTGCAGTGGGTCCTTTTACACTGACAATTCAACTTTTTTTCTTTTAGAGCGAATTGACACTTGAGTTGACAGTTCAACTGTTGAGGCAAGATCAGGGGCGCACGGAATCTGTTGGATTGGCAGTCAGCAAGCCGGCAAGGGAAGGGCTAACGTGCGGTTGGAGGCCTTTGAACACAAATGATAATGAGGACATGAGCTGACGTCTCACGGCGGTGAGTCGATGATCCTGTTTCGGCTTCAGAAACCAAGTACCTGTCGTGCACGGTTACCCCAGTTCAATATAAGGAGGATGCAGAAGCTGTATGGTCCAGAGAGTTATCACTGTCATCTTTTATGCTTCTGCAGCTTGATGAAAGGAGTTCCATTGGATGAAAGTTACAGAGTCGCAGTAGTACTAGTAAACGAGCAGTTCAACTAAAACTACATTTGCATTCATTCAGGTATTTCAAAAAAAAATTTACACAACATGTAAGCCTGGTTGCTATGTTTATTCAGCCGAAAGCTAAAAAACTTTAAACTCTACGCAAACGCAACACGTAAGTAAATTCACTGCTCGATGAGAAGGGTGATCATATCTTCCTCAGCCTAATTTGAGCACCGTGCTGTGGCTGGAGGGTCATCACGGTGTACGGCGCGTGGGTGTAGGACGGCGAGAGCTCAAACGAGAAGCGCTGGAGGATGGTGCTCAGTGCCATCTTAGCTTCCAGCAACGCAAAGTTCTGGCCGATGCAGATCCGAGGACCCCCTCCAAACGGAAAGAACGCCGACGGATGCTTTGCCGCGCTCGAGATGCCATCAGCAAACCTCTGTGGATTGAACTCACTTGCATCCTCTCCCCAAATATCGGGATCATGGTGGATAAAGAGAAGGGGCAAGATAAGGGTCACTCCTGTAGGATATTTGATGCCGCCAAGCTCCGTTGCCTTGTAAGTTCTTCTGGTAAGATAGGTTACCGGCGGGTACAGCCTAAGAACCTCATACAGAATCATTGTTACCTGCAAAACAATGGACAAGATCAAGAACATTACTCCGACCACTGTATTCTTAAAACATCACATCATCCTGTTTTGCTCCAAAAGAATACTTTTAATTCATGAGTATTTGTTTTCACTCACATGTGTATATGCAGACATGCAATATAATTTTTAATGGAATGGACATCTGATAGGAGTAGGTTTTATTGTTGGCTACTCTTTTGTCAATTTGATGATTGGGGGATTATTTAATTTCATTTTATCCTGCAGTATGTGCACAAGGCATCAATTTCGTACTTACAATCTTCAGGCGACTCAGGTGCTCATAATCTGGTGTGGTTCTTCCGAAGTGATGCAACACTTCCTCTCTTGCCAGCTCTTGCCACTCCGGGTGCATGCTTAGCACAATTAGTGTCCATGTGAGCAAGACCGATGTTGTCTCCATACCTGCAAAGTAAAACAGCTTGCATTCCTCAATTATATCATCAATACTCATCCCTTGGCCTGCCTTCCCATTTGATTGTTGCATATTTGACTCCAACAGCAATCCTAGCAAGTCATTGCTGCTGGCTTCACCATTTTTAATAGCTCTTTCTTTTTTTCCAATAATTCCTCGCATAATCATGCGGATGTCATGATCAATTGCTCTCATCCTTCTATTATTTTTTGTTGGTAAGAACCTGCAAATGTTGTGACATGTCATCATAGGAAAGAAAATCTTGATTGCTAGTATTGTTTAAGTTTAACATAGAAAAGAAAAAAGTTTCTTTGATCAGTCTACTATTTTATTCAATGAGTTCTTTCATTTCAAAAGAAAAGGAAGCCAACTATTTAATCAAATACAATTTGATAGAAATTATATGGGCTTGCGTTACAAAGGTTTACAAGTACTCTTGTATGCAAGTCGAAAGAATTTTTTTTTTTTTTTTGTGTGTGCAAGGGAAGAACTTACCAATAGCCTGGGATAAACATTGTCTGAAAAGCCTGCATTAGTCGTTTAGCTAACTCCCCTTGCAGCTCGAATATTTTCTTCCCTTCCTGATAATTGCTACCAAATGATGTTCTCGCGATGACATCTCCAGTAAGATTCTGAAACTCAGAACATGTGTCAATCTCTGATAACCCTTCACCGGACATGGAATTCTCCCACCTTGCAACCATTTCTTCGCAACAGGTAGAAAAAACTGGCAGAATCCTCTGCAAACGAAACATTACTAGCTATCAGCCTATGCAATTCCCATGTTGCGATTTAAAATGAGAAAAATAATGAATTTTTTCGTTGAACCGGCACCTTTATCTTCTCATGATGAAAGGCAGGATTGAGGATTCTTCGGTGCTTTGTCCATTTCTCGCCTTCATGATTTGCAACTCCGTCGGCTAGCAGCTTCCCCATACGGCTGCTCCTTTGTTTCCTATAGTGTCCAAGCTTGTTAGACAGAATTTCTCTCACTAGATCCGGGTCAGAAATCATCACCCTTGGCGTTGGGCCAAACCAAGTGAATGGCATTTTCCCTGCATTTTGTAAATCGATATTTTGTTACACGTACGACAATCAAAGTGCATGCATGTTATAGTTTGTTAACTGCTCCTGTCTAGCAAGATGCATGCCCACAAATATCCCACACGTAACCGTTGCCTTTACCGAACACGCTATGTATCAGAAGCTCAGAGCACATCCCTAATTAACGCGGGAGAATAGAAAAAGTTCAAAAGAACTTGTGAATTTGGCGACTGAAAGATTACCGTGCTCCTTAACGGCGTTGCAGAGCATGGGGTGCACACGAGGGATGATGTCGTGGGAGCCGAGCGGCATGGGCTGTGATCGGGCCTCTCTGTTGAGCCGGGCGTCCTCCGGTGCGTCGCCGCTGAAGAGGCGGTACCGGGTGCCCCTGAGGCCCTGGGCCCGCAGAGCCCTGCCCAGCCGCCGCGGCGTCCACCATGCCCACTCCAGAATCCAGGCGGCTAACGACAGTAGCGCCACGGCCGCCGCCGCGCCGGCGATGCTCCACGGAGAGGCGTCCCCCAGCAGCATCTGGAGACCTCGGGTTGGCTTCAGTGCAGAGGAGGAGGTCAGGAGTCGTACGTAGTCTCGAGAACAGACCGCCGGTTGGCTTCACACGTCTGCAGTTTTGCCTCGAGGTTTTGGCTCAATTGGTGTGAGTGTGAGCGAGGGTAGCCTCGAGAAATTAGTTACGTGACTTTTCTAGCCATCTTTTTTTAGGGAGACTTTTCTAGCCATCTAGAAAGCCAGAGAAGTATGGGAGACACGACTACATAAACCGATCAAGTGGCCCTGGTGATCACGTAGGGAGGACTTACAGGGCACAAGAATTTCTTTTTTCCCTAGAAAAACAAGATTTTTTTTTTGTGTGGTTGCGAAGCACAAGACTGAATAGTCGTGATCGACGTCGATTTTTCTTTCCAATACTCCCTTCATTCCGAATTATAAGATGTTTCAGTAACTTTTCTCTGAATTGTCCAGCAAAAAAAAAAACTTTTCTCTGAATTGAATGTATATAGACGTGTTTTATTGCATTTGTTCACTCATTTGTATGTACTTCATACTAAAATGTTCAAAACGTCTTATAATTCAGAACAGACCTAATACTTCTTTCTGCAGAAAACAAACATGCTGCAGGCAAAGCATACTTTTCATCAGTACTTTCTACATCTCATGTGTTCTTGCTCGACAAGTCAATTTTTCTTCCACCACCTAAAGAACACATGACACATTTTTTCATCCAGAAACAACGAATATCCCGCTCGAAAAGAGGGAAAACATTTGCACCATAAAAATAAAGCAAACACCTTTATGTATAAATTTCATCCAACTTCATTGCTGTGACACGCTCACATAGTTATACATGAGAAGATAATTCAAAATTATAGATGTTCTCCAATGTTATATGTCGATTTTATTGAAATTTATTAACTTCCATGAATCAGGCTTTTCCCCATTATATATATAAAGCACATGGCCAAATGATACGAGGTGCTGAGGAAGCTCTCAAAAGCTCATCAAAAAACAAAAAACCCAGCACACCGCATTGAAGACACAAAAATCGCACAAGAGTGTACAACAAAACGCCACCGGAGTGTTACCGAGAAGAGGCATAGTAGAAATGTCGACAAAACCAATAACCGCCGACACTTAATGACAACGCCTCCAAGAAGGTAACGATTCCACGCGCCACGGGCGTGTCTGCCAAAGCGGACAACGTTTTCACCTTGAGTGTTAGAGAGGAGGGAAGGGACCAAGGCGGTGCCCCAAGAGAAACATTGAAAGAAATATGCCCTGGAGGCAATAATAAAGTTATTATTTATATTTCCTTATATCATGATAAATGTTTATTATTCATGCTAGAATTGTATTAACCCGGAAACTTAGTACATGTGTGAATACATAGACAAACAGAGTGTCACTAGTATGCCTCTACTTGACTAGCTCGTTAATCAAAAGATGGTTAAGTTTCCTAACCATAGACATGAGTTGTCATTTGATGAATGGGATCACATCATTAGAGAATGATGTGATTGACTTGACCCATCCGTTAGCTTAGCACTATGATCGTTTAGTTTGTTGCTATTGCTTTCTTCATGACTTATACATGTTCCTATGACTATGAGATTATGCAACTCCTGAATACCGGAGGAACACTTATTGTGCTATCAAACGTCAGAACGTAACTAGGTGATTATAAAGATGCTCTACAGGTGTCTCCGATGGTGTTTGTTGCGTTGGCATAGATCGAGATAAGGATTTGTCACTCCGATTGTCGAGAGGTATCTTTGGGCCCTCTCGGCAATGCACATCACTATAAGCCTTGCAAGCAATGTGACTAATGAGTTAGTTGCGGGATGATGCATTACGAAACGAGTAAAGAGACTTGCCGGTAACGAGATTGAACTAGGTATTGAGATACCGACGATCGAATCTCGGGCTAGTAACATACCGATGACAAAGGGAAGAACGTATGTTGTTATGCGGTTGGACCGATAAAGATCTTTGTAGAATATGTGGGAGCCAATATGAGCATCCAGCTTCCTCCATTGGTTATTGACCGAAGATGAGTCTCGGTCATGTCTACATAGTTGTCGAACCCGTAGGGTCCGCACGCTTAATGTTCGATGACGATCATTATTATGAGTTTATGTGTTTTGATGTACCGAAGGTAGTTCGGAGTCCCGGATGTGATAACGGACATGACGAGGAGTCTCGAAATGGTCGAGACATAAAGATCGATATATTGGAAGGCTATGTTTGGACACCGGAATGATTCCGGATGAGTTCGGGCAATTTCCGGAGTACCGGGAGGTTACCAGAACCCCCCGGGGAGTCAATGGGCCTTATTGGGCCTTAGTGGAAGAGAGGAGGAGGTGGCCAGGTGGAGGGCGCCCCCCCAATCCCAATCCGAATTGGGGTGGGCGGCCGGCCCCCCTTTCCTTCTCTCCCTCTCCCTCTTCCTTCTTCTCCTACTCCAACTAGGGAAGGGGGGAAACCTACTCCTACTGGGAGTAGGACCCCCTCCCTTGGCGCACCCTATGAGGGCCGACCCTCTCCTCCTCCCCTCCTTTATATACGGGGGAGGGGGGCACCCCATAGAGACACAAGTTGATTCTTAGCCGTGTGCGGTGCCCCCTCCACATATTTCCACCTCGGTCATATCGTTGTAGTGCTTAGGCGAAGCCCTGCGTCGGTAACTTCATCATCACCGTCATCACGCCGTCGTGCTGACGAAACTCTCTCTCGGCCTCAGCTGGATCAAGAGTTCGAGGGACGTCACCGAGCTGAACGTGTGCAGATCGCGAAGGTGCCGTGCGTTGGTACTTGATCGGTTGGATCATGAAGACGTTCGACTACATCAACCGCGTTACTCAACGCTTCCGATTTCGGTCTACGAGGGTACGTGGACACACTCTCCCGCTCGTTGCTATGCATCACATAGGTAGATCTTGCGTGATCGTAGGTAATTTTTTTGAAATACTGCGTTCCCCAACAGTGACATCCGAGCCAGGTCTATGCATAGATGTTATATGCACGAGTAGAACACAAAGAGTTATGGGCGATAATAGTCATATTGCTTACTAGCATGTCATACTTTGATTTGGCGGTATTGTTGGATGAAGCAGCTCAGACCGACATTACGCGTACGCTTACGCGAGACTGGTTCTATCGCCGTGCTTCGCACACAGATGGCTAGTGGGTGTCTGTTTCTCCAACTTTAGTTGAATCGAGTGTGACTACGCCCGGTCCTTAAGCTTGTTGAAGGTTAAAACAACACACTTGACGAAAAATCGTTGTGGTTTTTGATGCGTAGGTAAGAATGGTTCTTGCTAAACCCGTAGCAGCCACGTAAAATTTACAACAAGTAGAGGACGTCTAACTTATTTTTGCAGGGTATGTTGTGATGTGATATGGACAAGACGTGATGATATATAAATTGTTGTATGAGATGATCATGTTTTCTAACAGTTATCGGCAACTAGCAGGAGCCTTATGATTGTCGCTTTATTGTATGAAATGCAATCGCCATGTGTTTTACTTTATCACTATGCGGTAGCGATAGTCGTGATAGCAATAGTTGGCGAGACGACAACGATGCTTCGATGGAGATCAAGGTGTCAAGTCGGTGACGATGGTGATCATGATGGTGCTTTGGAGATGGAGATCAAAGGCACAAGACGATGATGGCCATTCACTTATATTGATTGCATGTGATGTTTATCCTTTATGCATCTTATTTTGCTTAGTTCGGCAGTAGCATTATAAGATGATCTCTCACTAAATTTCAAGGTATAAGTGTTCTCCCTGAGTATGCACCGTTGCGAAAGTTCGTCGTGCCGAGACACCACGTGATGATCGGGTGTGATAAGCTCTACGTTCACATACAACGGGTGCAAGCCAGTTTTGCACACGCAGAATACTCGGGTTAAACTTGACGAGCCTAGCATAAGCAGATATGGCCTCGGAACATTGAGACCGAAAGGTCGAGCGTGAATCATATAGTAGATATGATCAACATAATGATGTTCACCATTGAAAACTACTCCATCTCACATGATGATCGGACATGGTTTAGTTGATTTGGATCACGCGATCACTTAGATGATTAGAGGAATGTCTATCTAAGTGAGAGTTCTTAAGTAATATGATTAATTGAACTTTAATTTATCATGAACTTAGTACCTGATAGTATTTTGCATGTCTAATTTATTGTAGATCAATGGCCCGTGCTACTGTTCCTTTGAATTTTAATGCGTTCCTAGAGAAAGTTAAGTTTAAAGATGATGGTAGCAACTACAGAGACTGGGTCCATAACTTGAGGATTATCCTCATTGCTACATAGAAGAATTACGTCCTAGAAGCATCACTAGGTGCAAGACCCGCTGCAGGAGCAACGCCGGACGTTGTGAACGCCTGGCAGAACAAAGTTGATGACTACTCGATAGTTCGGTGTGCCATGCTCTACGGCTTAGAACCGAGACTTCAACGATGTTTTGAACGTCATGGAGCATATGAGATGTTCCAGGAGTTGAAGTTAATATTTCAAGCAAATGCCCGGATTGAGAGATATGAAGTCTCCAATAAGTTCTACAGCTGTAAAATGGAGGAGAATAGTTCTGTCAGTGAACATATACTTAAAATGTCTGGGTATCATAATCACTTGACTCAGCTAGGAGTTAATCTTCCGGTTGATAGTGTCATTGACAGAGTTATTCAATCACTGCCACCAAGCTACAAAAGCTTTGTGATGAACTATAATATGCAAGGGATGGATAAGACAATTCCCGAGCTCTTCACAATGCTAAAGGTTGCGGAGGTAGAAATCAAGAAGGAGCATCAAGTGTTGATGGTCAACAAGACCACTAGTTTCAAGAAAAAAGGTAAAGGGAAGAAGGGGAACTTCAAGAAGAATGGCAAGCAAGTTGCTGCTCAAGTTTAGAAACCCAAGTCTGGACCTAAGCCCGAGACTGAGTGCTTCTACTGCAAAGGGACTGGTCACTGGAAGCGGAACTGCCCCAAGTATTTGG